TGGCTTGACTTTGCCCCATAAAAAGCATTCCTGGGTGGAGTATTCTTCCATTTCATTTTGATTAATTGTGAAAGAAGTACATACTCATTGGTATTTGCTGATGAGCAAAGACGACAGTTCAGAATCATCAAGACAGGAATAGGGAGCTAGGCAGTGGGACTGTGCCCTGCAGAGGAGAAAGCAGACTCAACACCTAATACAGCGTGGAGAAATGGAACTCCACAGCTCAAATGAAGAGTGGGGTCAGTGGATGGAAAACTACTGAGGAAATAGCATGGAGTCCTGCTAGACTGTTCTCACAGTGTTCTTGCTGACGACAAACCTGGGTGAGCACTGTTACCTGGCATGGAAGAGACAGGCACGTGATCAGATAGACAGGCAGATCAGCTGCCAAGAGTGGGCTGTTGTGCTACAGTAACTCAGCAAGCTTCTTTGGTCAAACTGGATTTTTGCAAAGAAGTACATACATGTGCCAGGGAGAAGGGCCATGGATTTGACTAAAGTTTGTCTAAGAGTCTTTGTCACAGTGCATGGATACAGGTAGTCAAGGACCCAGGCACACTCCTCACAGACGTCGTGTTATGTGGAGCCTCTCCCCCATGAAAAATAGAAGGCACACCCACAATTAACTTTTAAAATGACCTCAAGTTGTAAAAGATTGAGCAAGCATGGAGAGTCACACAGATAAGAGAGAACTGAGGTCCCCGAAGCAGCCTCTACATCTGTGAAGAGCTTATTGTGTGCTGGTGATGACTATTCCATATGCCAGTGGCAAATGCTGGGCCACTCAATTCCAAGGTTCATCAATGTTAGCAACTAGTGAGTGCCAGGCTCAGCGTGAAGACAGAGGCTTCATGGTCCAGAAATCCCGTTTTCCTATGTGTGCAGCTGTAGAGACACACTACATACTTACCTTGGTAGAGTGCATACAACCACAGGGCAACTTGGTGACTCTGAATTTTTGCAGCTTCTCAAGCACCTGTCCAGGAGGATGGTATAGCAGAGGTCTAGCCCTTGCTCCTCTGGCAGAGGCCTGAGCCTAGGTTGTTCTGGAAATATGGTCTTGGTGTAAAAGACACAAAGGTACTTATGATGGTTAATTTCCAGTGTCAGTTGGAGATCTGAAAGATGAGTCTCTGAGCATGCCTGTGAGGAATCATCTTGATGGAGTTAGTGGATGTTAGAGAACCCACTCGCTGTGAGTGGCACCAGTCTCTGGGATGGAATTCAGGACTGCATCGAAAGAGTGTTGAGCATAAACACTCATCATTTTCTGCTTTTTAACTGTGGATGCAATGTAACTAGTGACCTCAAGCTCCTGCTGCAGGTCTTTCCCTCCGTGATTTCCCTCCATTGTTTAAGTTGGATATTTTATCACAACAATAAGAAAACTAGCAATCATGATACTTCAAGTGCTGATGGCCTTGTGTGTGTGGCACATCACACCCTAATAGTGCTGTGAGGTGGGCACACCTCCATTTACTGTGAAACGAATGACAAAGACTATCCCGAGATCCAAGGAGAGTCCCAAGGCTGTGTTCACATGGTTATATTTTGTCCTAAATTTGTGATACTATGGTAATTAAGATATAACATTATAATAATATGAATATTTCCACTTAAGCTTATTGTTATAGCAATGTACAGGGACAAGTGCAATTATTATTACCACCTAGGGATGGAGACACAGCATGATTGGGAACAGTAGAACTTGGACCTGTTATAAACTCTCTGACTCTAATGGCAGATCATGGAGAATAGGTATGGTGGTTTGAAAGAAAATGGTACCCAAAGGGAGTGGCACTATAATGAGGTGTGACCTTGTTGGAGGAAGTGTGTCACTGTGGAGGTCTTCTGTGCTCAGGCTACACCTAATGAAACAGTTCACTTCCTGTTGCCTGTGGATCAAGGTGTAGCTCTTTCTCCACACTCAGCTCCTTCCCAGCACCATGTCTGTCTGCACACCACCATATCCCGCCATGATGATAACGGACTAAACCTCCCAAATTGTAAGCCACCCAATTAAATGTTTTCTTTATAAGAGTTGCTGTGGTCATAGTGTCTCTTCACAGCAATAGAAACCCTAACTAAGACAATAGGCATATTTTTTCTAAGGGGACAAAGATCTCAGGAACACTCCAAGGCACTGTGTAGTCTTGGTCCAGTGTCTCCAAATGTCGAGGGACACCAATAATAAATGTTTTTAGATGTGATTCTAGTCAGAGGAGACTGATAATGGGCAGAGGACAAATTGTGGAGGCCATACGAGGGCACCATGGTTACATGGTGTGGAGCTGTGTGGAGCAGGGTGTCTTGTGTCCATTGTATTATTTAAGGTTTCATCTGTTGGGGAGAGAAAGCTTTCCCACTATATCCTCAGGTTCAGTGTATGGAGGACTATGAGTTAAACTAACAGAAGGGTGGACCAACAGGAGAAAAAACATACAGTTTTTAGATTGATATTTACAGACAAAGGAGTTGTTAGAAAATAAGCAAAACTCAAAGACCTGGCTAGACCCGGGCATTGTTATACCACTTCACAAGGTCAGGTCATGAAGAAAAGACCAGGAAGTGCACGGTGGAAGCGGCTGGAAGATGAGGGCTATTTTTATAAGGTTTGTTTGTGTAGATTCCTGTCCGTGTCAACTCTCCATATCTGGTGGTAGAGAAAGGGGGCCCTTCACAAAAGGAACTTTATGCATCTATACCTTGCCTTTAAGCAAAGAAAGGGAGGGCACAGGCATCTTCCTGCATCTGTGGATTTACTATCGGCTTCAGCTCAAAACACTTGCTTTACTTAGCATGTGCAAGATTCTATCCCCAATACCCCAGGGGAGAAAATAATAAACCTTATGTCAAAGTGGCATATCCTGAGCCCCTTCAAGCCTAAAACAAGATACTAGGGCTTACATAAAATCCAGATTAATTGGAGTATATGCATCACACATACACTGGGTTCACATGAAAACCATTTCATGTAAGTATGTACTATACTTTGGCCATATTCTCCTTAATATGCCCATCCTCTCCCTTTTTTAAATTTCCTTGTTCCTGCTAGCCTACTTCATTCCCCTCTTCAATTTGCTTTTAGTTTTATGTAATAGGCACATACATGATTTTATGTTTTATGTAAAATCTAGGATCCACAAATCCTAGAAAATGTGTGATAGTTGTCTTCCTGAGTCTGACTTCATTTTCTTAATATGATAATCTCAGGTTCATCCATTTTTCTTTTATTTTAATAGTCCAGAGCAGAGAGGTGGGGCAGTTCCAATATGCTCAACATATGTTTCCCAAGATCTCTACAGCTGGCTTCTTTCACCTCTAGAAGAAGAAAGGGGGTAGAGTGAGAGCCTTCTGGTCCAGCCCTAACCACACAGTCCTATCTACTTGCATGTGAAATTGCTCTATATAGATGTGTTTTGCATTTGTCCACCAGGACTTTTTATTTTTTGTTATGGAAACTTGGTGCCCAGTGAAGTAATATTGGGAAGTGGTAGAACCTATTAGGTATGTCCTGATCACACGATGCCTCCCCTAGAATGATTTAATGTATACTCAAAAGATACTTCTTGCAAGAGTGGATTATCATAAAAAGTACAAACTTGGCCCCCAAATCTCTCCCATGTCATTTCCTGCCATTTGATTACCCCTTTATGATGTCTAGCTCCTGTGATGGAGCTAGATCACCCTCTGTAATGTCATAAATCATCCTGTGATGGAGCTAGATAACCCCTGTGATATCATAGGCCCTCCTGTGATGAAGCTAGATCACCCCTTGTGATGTCATATGCTTCATTGTGATGGAGCTAGATCACCCCCTGTGATGTCATAAGCTTCCTTGTGATGGAGTTAGATAACCCCTGTGATGTCATAAGCTTCCTTGTGATGGAGTTAGATAACCCCTGTGATGTCATAGGCCATCTTGTGATGGAGCTAGAAGTCTGTCATGAGTAGCTGGACAGGAGAAGTTTCTGGATCTTCAACTTTCAGTCTTTAAATAGTAAGGTAACTAAGTTTCTTTTTTTTTTTTATAACCTTCAGTGTTTTGTTACAGTGATGGGTGATATTGTTCTGTATGCTATGAATGTGTGTTGCTCTGATTGGTTGATAAATAAAGCCTTTTGGCCAATGGTGAGGCAGAATAAGGTTAGGTGGGACATTCTAACTAGAGGGAGAGGAAAGAGAAAGAGCAAGGAGATGCTGCCAGCCGCAGCCAAAAGAAGTAAGATGTAAAGGTACCAGTAAGCCACAAGTCATGTGGCAAAGTATAGATTTATAGAAATGGGTTAATTTAAGATGTAGGAGCTAGCTAGCAAGAAGCTTGAGCCATTAGGCCATACAGTTCATAATCAATATAAGCCTCTGTGTGTTTATTTGGGTCTGAGTGGCTGCAGGACCGTGGGACCTCGGGTGCTAGGTAGGACCAGGAAAACTTCATCTACATTACAGCAATAGAAAAATGAACCAATTCAGAAGTCATGTGTACTGGCTACTTGACACAAATTAGAGTCATCAGAGAGGAAGGAGCCCCAGCTGAGGAAATGCCTCCATGAGATCCAGCTGTAAGGCATTTTCTCAATTAGTGAACAACGGGGAAGGGCCCAGCCCATTGTGGGTGGTGCCATCCCTGGGCTGGTGGTCCTGGATTCTATAAGAAAGCAGACTGAGCAAGTCATGAGGAGCAATCCAGTAAACAGCACTGCTCCACAGCCTCTGCATCAGCCCCTGCCTCCAGTCCTGTTTGAGTTCCTGTCCTGCCTTCCTTCAATGCCTCATCCTCTCATTTTCATCTTTAAATATCTCTTCTGCTCATGCATCCATATGTTAGGAAGAGTAGAGTGATCCACTAAAATCTAAAGTCTGCGTGTGCCAATCTCCCTTATGACTAGAGTTGTGGTGCATTATTTTAAATCGTATTACTGTATATTAGCCAATGACACACAAAATGTGTTTAATTAGCTCTTCGGTTCTCACCACTGTGCAGTCTCCAGCACCAAATGTCCATTGCCACGCCTCAGAAAACTGAGGAAATCAAGGACTTTCTGCTCAAAGCCCAGCAGAAGGATGCCAAATCTGTCAAGATCAAGGACAAGGATAATGTGAAGCTCAAGGTTCGCTGCAGCAGGTACCTTTACACCCTGGTCATCACAGACAAGGATAAGGCTGAGAAGCTAAAACAGTCCCTGCCTCCTGGTTTGGCTGTGAAGGAGCTCAAATGAACCAGACCTCTCTGTTTAGACCATTAAAACCCCTGAAAGGTAAAATATATATATATATATATTTGTACATATATATATGTATATATATATTTATATTCTCATACATAGATATACTGTAGTTTGGCCCTATTTATTGCCATTGTACTTTTTGACTTCTCTTCCTTCTGTCCGTTGCTCCCCTTCCTCTTCCATAATGGTTTCCCTACCTTCATGTCTGTCTCCTTAAGCTGAATAGTATTTCTGAGTGTGTGTGTGTGTGTGTGTGTATGTGTGTGTGTGTGTGTGTGTGTGTGTGTGTGTGTGTATGGTATCTGTGGTATGGTGTGGTGTGTATGTTCTCACAGAGAAAAGCCACTTCTACAGGCCCTTTCTGTAGGGGTGTTAATCTTAAACAAACCCCCCAAAGTGTCTGCCTCTCAAAGTCAAAGCTATTCTGGGATGGCAACACAAGGGATTGAGAGGGGATACATCATGATACTACCCCACTGTAGTCAGTGGCTGGCAACAGGATGAATGTGTGTGTGTGTGTGTGTGTGTGTGTGTGTGTGTGTGTGTGTGTGTATGTGTGTGTGCATGTACATTTTTTCTTCAGAGCTACTGAGGTAGCTCTGCCTTAGGTTATCAGTCACCTAGGCTTACTTCTAGCTGAAGACCAAGGTCAGATCTGTCAGTGGGGCTTCCACGCTCCAGAATCAAATGTTAACATTGATGATATTAAGTTTTTGAGACAAGGTCTCCTATAGCCCAAATTTATTGTAACCAAATGTTACCTTCGATCTTCCCGTAGCAGAGGAAAGAGCCAGAGAGAAGCCAAACCACAGACATCTTCTACCCTTCTCAAGTGTGCTTACCTTCTGTTGTTCAAAGTAAGCCATCTGGCCATGTCCAATCAATGCAGTGGGGAAGTATGAGCCAGGAGAAGAAGGGGAAGGTGCTTCGTATTTTTTAATTAATAAAATCATGGTCTGAGAATGTAGCTCTATTGTTGGACAGCTTGCCCAGCATGCCCAAGGCCCTGGGCAGGATCTTCATCACCACATAAGCCAGTTATGCTGACATATCTCTATAATCCCAACACTTGGAAGGAAGAGGCAGAAACATCAGGAGTTCAAGGTCATCCTTGGTTACAATAAATTTGGGCTATAGGAGACCTTGTCTCAAAAACTTAATATCATCAATGTTAACTTCTGCCGTAGATGTCAAGCTATGAATATTTCTCTGTCTGGGGGACACAGGAGTGTTCCTTGTGCTGATGCTGCTTTGCAGGCTGCCTGCGGAGATGACCTCTGACCTGTCTGCAACAAGTGGTAGGGGCAATTAAGAACTACTAACTGCCAATTCACCAAATAAAGTGGGGAGAGTTATCACGGAGTGAATTGGAGCATTCTAGGAAGAGGCTAGACACCTATCTGTCTAGACGGCTGAGAAGGCCTTTCCAGATAGGTGGAAATGTGCTATTTAAAACTTTTAGTGTGCTGAAGTGCATGCAAGTGTAGTGAGGGAAGTTCCAGGCTGATAAGTGCTTTCCCACTTAACCAGAAGCATTGATGGCAGAGCTATTGCTTACTACTAAGTCTTGCCATATGAAACTTAGATTTTGTTTCTCTCTGAAGTGATTAGGCTTCTTCTTCTTCCTACCACCTTTGGAAATTGTTAACCAGTCGATTTGCATTTGGTAGTCTTAACATTATTCTACTTACATTTAATGAGTTTTAATTGACAGCTAAACACTGTATATTTAGGATTTACAGTGTGGTGATAGTTGCATCTCCCTAGACATTATGAAAATTTCCTCTAAGGCCAATTTAACCCATCAATTCACATGTTTATTTTTTCATTTATTTACTCCTGCAGCAAATTTTGTTTCATTCTACTAGTTTTAACTAAAATCATCATGCCGAACATTGCTCTTCTAGAATGTATGCATTTTATTAAAAAGGTGAAAGATTATGATCTGAAGATTGTACACACACACACACACACACACACACACACACACACACACACACTGCCACTGTACTGGTGTAGAGGTCAGAGAACACCTTGGTGGAATGTTTCTCTCCTTCTACCTTTCCATGGGTCCTGAGGATGGACCTCAGGTTGTCAAGGTTACACAATAAGTGCTTCATCCACTGAGCCATCTTGCTGGTCCAATCTCTTTTACTTTTGGATAACAAGCCCACCCCTAACCTCATGGTGACTTTCATTTACATTTCTCTGATAGTTGGTGATATTGAGCATCTTTACATGCACCTTTGCCCATCTGTATGTTTTCTTTAGAAATAAATGTCATTTTAGGACACTGTATATAATCACCTCATTTGCAGATAAGAGTATTTTATTTTTCCCTTCTCCCTGGAACGTCTTCATTTCTTTCTCTCAACTCTTGGTCCAGGTAAGATCTCTAGGATGCTTAGTTTTGTTTATATATTTTAAAAACCCTACGTAGAATGTAAGTGGTGAGAGTGGACACTCATCTCCCCTCCATATCATAGAGGAAAGGGTTCAGCTTTTCACCATTGAATATGATTTTCTCTTTGAGCATGTCTTGCTTTTGCTATGCTGAGGTACATGCTTTCTATCTTGATTTGTGAGACTTCTGTTTCTATCATGAAAGGGTGTTCAGTTTGGTTGAATGCATTTCCTACATCTTTTGCAATGATCTAATTTTTATCCTCTGTTCTATTAATGTGGTATATTGCAATGATTAATTTGAGCATGAAGACTCCTATGTCCCAGAGACAATTCCCAATTGTTCATAGTATATAGTCATTTTGATGCGTTGCTGAATTCAGCTTGCTTGGGTTTTTCAAGTAAGAATTTTTTGTTTATTTTCATCATGGATATTGCTCTGTGGAATTCTTTTCTTGTTCTATCTTTTGGCTTTGGTGTCAGGGAAATTAAATAAGCTTGGAACATTCCCTTTTGCTTTATTGGAAGAGCCTAAGAAGGACTGTTATAGGTTCTTTGAATACTTTTGGTAGACATCAATAGGAAGGTTGTGTGGTCCTGGGGTTTCTTTTCTTGGGAGATATTTGGCTACTAATTCAAGCTCCCTGCTCATTACTAGTCCGTTTGGATTTTTCTTTTTCTTCAGGATTCAGTCCTGGTGGGTGTTCTATTTCTTGGTAGTAGAAACTGATGTGTTCAAAACCACCACTGCCACCCAGATCCCAATTTCTTAGTCCATGAAACAAAACATTTTCAGATTCTTGGTCCTTATTCTTTGTTAGATTTCTTTCTTTTTTTTTTTTTTAAGAGAAGAGCTATTTTTGTAACTAAATTTTATGAGAAGGCCTAATGTGTGTGACAGGGAAATGCTCCTGTCTCTAATCTGGAGAACTATGAAGGCAGAAGGAGAAGCAAACAGGGTATCCACTGGGCAGATAGAGGTCTCAAGGAATAACAAAGGCCACCAAAGCTAAAGAGTCACAGATCTGTGGTTGTTGACAGACAAGGGGAAACGCAATGAAAAGATCCTCTGAATAGTTCTCTAGGACAGATCTCTGTTCTCTTAAACAAGCAGATGAGGTGGGGTTCACACTGACCATAATTAAATCCTGAAAGCCAGCCCGGGGATTCAGACAAAATGACTCTATGCATCTGTGTGAGGCTGGTTCAGACAAGTCTTGCCGTTCCTTGGTCAGAAAGTGTCTTCAGTCAAGTCCTGTTGAGCTTCAGTTGGGTAGAGGTGGTCACATTCACACACAGCTTCAGTTGGGTAGAGGTGGTCACATTCACACACAGCTTCAGTTGGGTAGAGGTGGTCACATCCACACACAGCTTCAGTTGGGTAGAGGTGGTCATATTCACACACAGCTTCATTTGGGTAGAGGTGGTCACATTCACACACAGCTTCATTTGGGTAGAGGTGGTCACATCCACACACAGCTTCAGTTGGGTAGAGGTGGTCACATCCACACACAGCTTCAGTTGGGTAGAGGTGTTCACATTCACACACAGCTTCAGTTGGGTAGAGGTGGTCATATTCACACACAGCTTCATTTGGGTAGAGGTGGTCATATTCACACACAGCTTCAGTTGGGTAGAGGTGGTCATATTCACACACAGCTTCAGCTGGGTAGAGGTGGTCACATCCACACACAGCTTCAGTTGGGTAGAGGTGTTCATATTCACACACAGCTTCATTTGGGTAGAGGTGGTCACATTCACACGCAGCTTCATTTGGGTAGAGGTGGTCACATCCACACACAGCTTCAGTACTGACTCTCTTAGGCAAGCAATGTGACAGGTGGCTAGAGTCCCTATACAATGGGCATGTGGGCAGCAGGCCTCATCTTCCAATGGAGAGCTGCTGAATGTGATGTAGGAGAGAAAGACATTTGGCTCAAACCCACTTGGAAGTACAAACAGACACAAAGAACGTGCTCCCTGTCCTGGACACAGGAAGGATATGTGGGGAGCCCTGTTTCCCAGGAGAATCAAGACCCCACCACCCGACAGTGCTCTGAAGACACCTCCCATCACCCCATCCCCGGACCTGAGGTCAGGAGGAGCATTCTCATACTGCAGATTGGCAGTATAGAAGTCTGGGGAGGCGGGTTGGCTTCTGCTTTGTTCAGAAGAGACTGAGCAATCTGGTGGCAACAGAAGGCCCATTAGATTTTACCTCCTGAGAGAAAAAGCTGAGATCCAAACAAGGGTCAACACTCAGATGATCATGGGCTACATTTTGTATTATATTTAACTTTATACATATTTTATTATGTATATTATTTTGTTTATATGAAAATCAGAAACATTCCCTTTAATACTCTTAATAATTGTACATATTTATTGAGGGAAAGTCTGACATTATTTTCATTTTTTTGGGTAGTAAATATCCAAATAACTAAAAATTACTGAATATTTACTGTGTTAGAGGTATTAAGCAATTTTCCTGCAAAAATTCTCTTAAAATCCCCTAATATTTGGTCCCATAACCACTGCCTTTGCAGATATGTATTGCAAAATCTTTTGCTATAAGATTTTTGTTGTTG